AGTTTAAAAACAAGCTGAGTCACTTACATGTTTCTTCATATTGCCACATATTTATAAATATAGCCACAGACTAGGGGAAGGTTTTCCACAGCATGGTTCTGGAAGATGCCAGGTTACCTCTGCTGAAGCCAAATAACGCTTATGTGATTAAACCATCAGGTAATGATAGCCAGAGTGTTATCTCTGAGGCTAGATAGGAGAGGTTGATGAAGAAAAAAACCCTGTGGGGCTTTGCAACAGGCAGGTTGTGTGTGTCTAAACCGAGCACGACACCAAGATTATGGGCTGGAGTAATAGGCGGGATAGTTTTGTTAATCCCCATATATCCGTTATATATGTTCCTGCGAGAGAGAGGTACAATAAAAGGAGAGGGAGTAAAAGCTCAGCTTTAGCCATCCTGAGTTGGAGTGTATGGTGAGATTATGCCAGGGAGGTCAGGAGAAGGTGTGGGATTTTGGTGTGAAAGAGGCAGAGCTGGAGCAGCACCTAAGTCCCGTTTGCCAGCCTGGAGTCCTGAGGGAGATCAGGCTCAGAGTTTAAATGACTTGGTAACGTTCCTGTTATATTCTTTTTCTCCAAAGAAGAGAGCTTGGTGTCAGCAACAGTTAGACAGGTCCTTGACAACTGGAATGATATCACTTGTTCTGATGAGATACAAATATATTGCAGCACAATAAGGACAGAGGACAGGCAGTGAAAAGGTTAGGAACATTTCAGAAAACGATGACATCTGGATGATGTCAGATAGTTCTCTTTCCTTGTTTACTGTATCATTTGACAGTAACTGAATAATGTGTAATAGACCTAATAGACCTAATGCACTGGCCCAGTTCCATCTTGCACAGTCATAACCTGCTTTTGTACATTCCCCTCTAGCCTCAATTTATTAGTCTTAAGCCTCCTTACGTCAACTTCTGTCTAGAGCACAGTGAGATTTTGCAGTATACCAGACATGACTTACCTGTTTTGTACTATTTAGGAAGTTTTGATTTTTCTGTATTTTGATAGCAATAATTGTGTTTATGTCTTTTTGTAATTGACACCGTTTTGATTCTGGTTTCGTTTTCTGTGTAGAAGTGGCTCTGTATCCAGTGCCTGACACTAACTAACCAAGTTAGCCGCTGAACCAGCCTTTGATTAAGTGACAGACCATCATGCTGAAGTGACCTTTTCCCTAATGGTTAATCTTACTGTGCTACATTGTGATACAGAGGGTAAGGATTATTATACTTAATAAATACTTTCTTGCTCTTGTACAATAGTAATCAAAAAATCCTGAGCAAAGTTGAGTTGGTAGGGAAGAAGAAACCTCTGAATTGTTTCTTCAGATGCTACCATGCTTTTATAACTCATGGAAATAAGTGGAGACATAGAGTCTAGCTGGTGTGCTGACAGAGAAAGGCATATTCTGCTTGGTGAACCTTGTATGCTCTTCTGCAGTCAGTGGGACAGGAGGAAAGAAAGGAACTTTTCTTCTGAGTTCGCTTTTTTTTTTAAAATGAGATGCAGAATTGCCCCATTTGGAATATATTTAACTCTTTGTGAAGCAGCAATAAATGGTAAACTTTCAAACACTTGGAAGGACAGTGTCTCCTAAATATAGACAGTTGGCAAGTGATCAGTTGACTGATTCAGCAGCCTTTCTTTCACTTAACAAAGGTTTTAACACTCAAAGTCATTTGCAGGCCTGGCTGGATTACAGCTGAGTCAGGTGGAGTGCAGTGATAGGTTAACTTGCTGGAAGAGTGTACTACTATTTTTTTGACAATGCATGTATGCAGTCCACAGAAGTTTCATGTATGTTTACCTGTTTTTCTTACAGATAAATCTGTTCGAGACTGTATCCTGAGCATTCACATTACTCAGAAGAGCCAGTGGCTTTATGTGATGTACCTGTGTATTGTGTGCATAAGAGGTTTAGGTCTATATGAAATCTTGGAAAGGTTAGCCTGCCAGGTTCCTGCATGTTTTTTTTATACATGTTTGAAGTGTATAGCCTTATCAAGTTAAAAAACCAGATATGATTTTAAAACCACTGTTTCGCTTCTGGCCTCTCTCTGGTTTTGGATTTCTTTCTGTGAGTTTTTGGCCTTCTAATTCAGCAAGCATAAAAATGGAAATTACCCATTCAATTGAAATAACTGTAGTGCAGAAAACAAACAAAATTTTCCCTTTTTACAAAGATGGACCTAGCTGTCCTTTCTCTTGACTTAGAGATAGTAGCTGTGGTAATTTTTTCACTAGCAAAAGTACTGTAATTCAAGTTTAGCTGAATTACAGATTTTTTTTTTCTTCAAAGTGAATTACTCATTCAGTTTGTGAGGGGTTTATAGGCTGAATTGTATCACTAAGGCATAGTCTACAGTAAGAGATTATATATTTACTTTCCGCCACCCCTCAGGGAAATGTATGCATTTATCTGTTTGTAATATGATGGACCTGTAGAGGCTAATCATAGATAACCTGTGCAGTTGCTGCAACCAGCTTTAAAATGATGCATCTTGGCTATTTTTTACATAAAATTTGTTTTGTATATAAGAGGAAGAAGTGTGGGATAGCTTTGTATAATTCTTTGCTTTCTGCATATTCTGAGAGACTAGCTACATAAACTCATATAAAAACAGTTCCATGCTACTGTGTGGAATTTGTTCCCTCCCTTGAGAATTTGATGCACTAGAACTTCAGCACTGGCAGTCTTAGGAAGGATAAGCAAAGGCAGTGACTTCATTTATTCTTTGGAAGGGTGGCATAACTGTGCATTAAAGCATTCATTCCAGGGATGAGAGAGTGGTGCCGATTGGAGTTCTAGTCTTTCATCTCCAGAGACATGGACTCATATCCTGTTTTAGATCACATGTGAAAATGAGTTAAGTGGTCTAATCTTAGCAGCTATTTGTTCATCTCTCAAAATCATTGCACAGTTCTCAACTGGCAGCTTTTGCGCAGTGGAAGCGGGATTTCTAAGGCTGGGTCTGAAGTCTTTTGGTTGATCTGTTTGGCGAAGTTTGCGCAATGTCAAAGTGTTGAGCCTTTGTTTAAAGAAACAACCAACCAAACCAAACCAAAACAGCCATCAATTTAACGCCCCACCCCGCTGTGTGAGAATTGGGCCAGTTACAATCTCATGGTCTGAAAAGATAATTTATTTACAGATTCTAAATAAAACACAAATTACAGTTGATAGAGAAAATGAACAGATCTAAAGAAATATTTTTTGTTAAGTTTAGGTCCGTATGAAGACTATGAAGTCTGCTTGGCTGAAAATGCTGAGATCTTGTTTCTTGGGAATAGAGCAAGTTAAAGTGTATGATTTACTTGTTATGGAAACAGTTTATATGCCATTTTTATGTTCTATATCTGTCTGCATATAAAATAATTTGAATGTGTCTCTTTACCAAATTGGCTATGGTGGCAGAAACTATTGCTTGAGAAAACTCTCAGGCTTTCTCTTGTTTTTTTTTCCCCCAACCATCTTGTAGAACTTATTTGAGATTTTATTCTTGCTGTCAAATGCCTTGCAACTTTTCTATTAGGTTGGGAATTCCAGTTCTGCTCTGTGTTACAGTGGTGAAAATACAGGTTAATGCCAGTTTTGGTAGCATTAGTTCATGTTTATACTGAGAAAAACAGAAGAGACTGGTGCTAAAATGGAACACTAAATATGAAAATGCTCTCTTTTTGCTGCAGACAGCAATAAGCAGGTGAACTTACTTTCTTGCTTCTTTTTCTCCTTAACTTTGCAGCTTCCAAAGAGGGGAGAGGACTGAGATCTTTATTTATATATTTAATTTCTTTTCTTTTTCCTTTTCGTTCTCTTTTCTCTCTGCTCTCTCTCCTTTCCTGCCAGTAGGGTATTCGATAGTCAGAGCCATGATGTTGCCGTGTGGCTTTTAGGAGTCGGGGCATAATACCAATGTGTGTGAAACTAGTATAGTCTCAATAAATTTCAACAGTTTCAGCACGCTGTAGTATAAGTACTTTGTGGTTCTCCACAAGTGCTTATAATATTGCAGTTTGTCATTTTCTTCTGTGCCAACCAGTGAGGTACAGATTGGTTCTTTGGAGTGTCTTAGGACATTTAAGATAAATTAGCCTTTTGGCACGTGATTATGCACTGCCATTTTCTGTTGTACCTTACAGCATGCTGTCCATTGCTAGAAACCAGACAGTTCACCCTGTCTGCCTCTGAGGTTATTTCTCTTTGCATTTTGCTGCACTGGAGAGTAAGCAAGGATGCTAAACAAGATGTAAAATGACATTCTAAATCTTTCTAGCCCTGCTTAATTACATGTATCCTCCATTGTTAACTGAGTGCTTAATCACTTACCTTTTAAGTTAGCTAGATATTCATTTTAATTCTTTGTACATTTCAATTTTTCAGAGCTTAGATTGCTGCTGTTTGATGATGTTGTGGAAAAAGTAACCTAGTTAGTTGCCATATTAAGTAGTGATTAAAATCTAGCTGCTTCTCTTCCAACCAGATAATAATTACTGATACTGAATTAACATCAGTCTGTAAGAGCAGAATCTACTCTTTGCTTCCATAAATCAGTAGTGGTTGTACAAATGAAGCTTAGGGTATCGAGAGACAAGGAATTCTGCTTAAGAAGTGCAAGGCTTACGGCAGAAAGCAGGAAAAAAACAGCACTAATTCATAGCATTGTTTGGAGCTGAGGCAGCAACCCTGTGGTACAATAGCAGAAGTTACAGCTGGAGCAGTAATCGGACATGTTCTGTCCAACTTGAAAGCTTAAAAGGTGATATAATAGATTGCACTCCAGGCATTGTAAGGTCAGAACATCTCTCTCTGACGCATGAAAATGTCTGTTAGAGATTTATTGTATTGCGAGGACATGGGACTTGCTTTAAAGTGCAGGTTTGGATTTTAATGTTTCCAAAGTGACTACATAGATCCTTTAGGTAGAAAGCATATATGTTAGCAAAAGAAAAGAAGCCAAAATGGAGGAAACTGGAAGGAAGGTGTAAACACTGAATGTGGCTGTCCAACTGACACCCCAGCCTTACCCGTTTTCACTTAGCCCATATTATTAAAATACCACTTTCATCTAGTTCACTTGCTTGTGCGCTCGCTCTCTCTGTCACTCGCACGCACAGAGAGAAACACAAACCCTCCCTCTCTGCAAGTGGGTTAATGGACTAGGGAGCCCTTGGGCAGAGTTCTCTGCCTTAAACGCCTAAACCCGACCAGAGTGCGAGGCTGAGACTATTTCTGAAATTCCCACTGAACCAGCTGGGGGATGGTGTCTGTGTTTTGTGCACGTGCATGCACGTACGTGCACTCGTGTGCATGCCATAGTGCGTCTCCCAAGAGGTATAAGTGGTGTCAAGCTGGGGTGATGCAGGGGGATGCAGTGTGTTGTATTTCCCACTCATCTCTAGGGAGGCTTCTTCTAGAAATTTTTGAGACGTGCAAGAAAATTCCTGAGGTGACAGCGGTGGAGACCTTACTGAATAAGGCTGGCCCGGTTGGCGTCTTTCGTAGGTATTAGAAATACTGTCCTCTTAGGTAAATTTACATTTCTAAAGGAAGGGGAAACTAGACTGTCCTTGTGCCACTATTGTATGTTATTACAGCTTTTGCCTTTCTGACCAAAACTGTTCAAGAAATAAAGTACTCTTAATGCTCTATTTTCACTTTGATTTGAAGGAAAAATTTGAAGGCCTCGAGGGCAAGACTTCCGAGGAGCGGCAGAGGTCACTTGGCTTGTTCAGCTTAGAGAAGGGGAGGCTGAGGGGTGACCTCGTCGCAGCCTACACCTTCCTCAAGGGCGGCAGCGGAGCGGGGGGTGCTGATCTCCTCTCTCCAGTGACCAGCAATAGGACACGAGGACACGGAATGAAGCTCATCGGGGGAAGTTCAGATTAGGAAAAGGTTCTTCAGTGAGAGGGTGGTCGGTCACTGAAACAGGCTCCCCAGGGAAGTGGACCTGGCACCAAGCCTGTCAGAGTTCAAGGAGCATCTGGACGATGCTCTTAGTCATATGGTTTAGTGTTAGGTAGTCCTGTGAGGAGCAGAGAGTTGGACTCTGATCCTTATGGGTCCAACTTGAGATATTTCTATGAAATATGAAGAGCTTTTAGTTCTTCCTTTGAAACTAAAAGAAATACGGTAAACAAATTTTTGCAAGCTTTTCTACAAAATCTAAAATAGATCTGTTTTTCCATGTAGTCAGAATTTGACATGCTCTTATGTGTATTTTCAAGGCTGGATATTAATAAGTATGTCATTAACAGATACGTTCAGAGCATCACAAGTTCTTGAGAAAGCATTTCAAGTCAACTGACTGTCATTTTTAAGAGGAAAGAGAGGCTAAGCTCCGTCCCCAAGAGATCCCAGCAGAATCCATAGCTGCACTAAACAGAACAGGTGACTGGATGTCACCGACACTGTACACAGTTATAGCTGAAAGATCATTTATCTTCAAGTTAAATAGATTTAGCCCTCACAACAGGCTACCATCCATGATGATCCAGAGAAGCTAAGGAGTGGCATGCTTTCTAATTCAAATATGCCTTTTTTTTGGAAGAGTAACACGCCATTGTATTTGTTTTGAGGACCCCTTAACACGTTTCTGCATGTTCAGAAACTAACCCATTTTTGTGATAATTTGATGTGAGTTAGATCGATAGGTGATAGACAGAAGAGCATGTTGTGTGCACTGAGAGTTAGAAACCACTGCTATAATAAGAAAAATAACCAAAAGTGCATAAGCATAGATAACAGGCAGGGCAAGGGAATTTTCTTGCACTTTCTGCATCTTTACAGAATACTTGGCTATCCCTGTGCGTTAACACTGAGTACTGTTTTGAACAAGATTATGGTCTGGCACTTTTACATTAGAAGTAGCTTGCTGGAAATCATGGAACTTTATTTGAAATGGTTGGTGAGTGAGACAGGATCAAGGCCAGGGAGTGGAAACCA